TACCTTAAGTAAAATTATTGGTTTGGACTGATTGTTATTTTTGGATAATGGTAGCTCGGGGATTCAAGAGATCAGCGGTTCGGGGATCTACCAGCTAGCAGCGAGGGGTTATCTGCAAGGTTCTACAGTCAGTTTGTGAGGTGAGTCTTCTTTAGTAGGAACAGGTCGAAAGCACCAATGCCGGCCTGTTTATGTATGTCAGGGTATACCAGATTTAGGTTCGATGGTGGGGTAAGCCCGACGTAGTATATATGATACGTGTTCAGGACTTGGACATGATGTCGGGGCAAGCCCGAGGAAGGTCTAAGCTTTACGAACTTTAGTCTGATATCGGGCGAGGCCCAAGGAAGGAATGCATGTTTAGTTATACTTGTTGTCTTTGTGATACTTGTATGTGCCTGGTAGGGAGGTGAGTGTGGGTAGGGGGCCCGTATCTCATCACTAGCTGAGAGTGAACGAGGTTCCATATCTCATTAGTAGCAGAGTATGGGCGGGGCCCAAGATAGGCGGGGACTTGAGACCAACATTTATAATGTTGTGTCCTTTGTTATGTATTATTTTGATTATGATTATATGTTTGTATGTGTACAACGGGTGGGGCCCGGTGACAGGCGGGGCCTAGTAGAAACATATATGTATACCGAGTGGGGCTCGATGCTAGGCGGGGCCTGATGTCGGACAAGTCCCGATGCATCGGGCGGGGGCGCAGTATATGTGCTTATGTGTATGGATATGGTAGATTGGGGGAGCTCACTAAGCTTCGTGCTTACGGTTTTAAATTTTGGTTTCAGGTACTTCCAGTAGCAGAGGGAAGAGCTCGGGATGACTGCATGACACACACCAAGAAGTTTTAGTCTGGGATGTTTTACTCTGATAAAAGGAACATGTTTTGAGATGATACTCTAATTTGATATAACGACATTTGTTTATGAATGATATGATTTGATAATTACAGTTTTATTAATGATTTTTAAAAGAAAATTTCAGACTGTATTTTTGGGATGTTTCAGCCTCATTCACGAAGCCATACACTAAAGGGGGTATAAGGAAGCAACCTATAGAATGACCGTTGAATGGGTGTTCACTCTCACCCACTGATCCCTTTTATGGTGGATGGTTGTTAGCCGAACGGATTTGGTGGGACATAACCTATTAAAAACATGATACTATAAAGTAACTAAACCTTTTTGAATAAATCCCAATTCTAGTTACTTTAGGACAAAAAATGTGAAGTGTATGCTAGTCCATGAAAATGCACATCACTCGTTATAAGTCGTTAGTGGAGCGTACATGGTTAACCGACACACTAATTTGGGACTATAAAGTTGAGTGATGGATAAATCAAAATTTATTATTGTTAATTGAGTGTGTGTGGTTTACCGGCTCATTACTTTGAGATGATAAATAACATTGTTGTTTTCAAGCGGATTTTCATGGTTATTCACATCTTATTTGTGATTCTTGGCATCCCAATGTAAAAAGCATAATCTGAGATTAAACTTTCCATTGATAAGATTCAGTGAATCTCAAATGATCTAGGAGTTTCATGCTAGATTGAAATTGGTAAATTTTGTATTACCTACCTTAATAAATTCACAATTAGATTACGACATCCCTCTTCTTTGTTGTGAATTGTATTTTGGATCCTAGGCTTCAATATTTATTTTGGGTTAAGATATTATGGATTTATATCACTAACAAAAACTATTTCTCTTTAAAAGATGTCAGGAAACAGTGAACTCTTTGCTACTCAAGTTGGCTCCTCCCACTCCAACTTCTCTCTACTGTCGATTTTGTCGAAAGAGAAGCTCACGGTCCCAACTACATGGATTGGATGAGGGACTTGAAGATGACTCTTAGTTATAACGACAAGCAATGTTCTCGAAAAGCCTCTTGTCGAAAACGATGTATCTACCACTACTGCTGAGGAGATTACCTCATTCAACAAACATTTTGATGATGCCACAGGTCGCTTGCATCATGGTGGCCACTATGGCACCTGAGCTCGTGAAGTTCTATGAGGACTATTGCTCATACAAGATGGATCTCAACCTTGTTGGAAATTTCCACAAGAAGGCGATACAAGAGTGATTCGAAGTGGTCAAAGCTATCATGGTGTGCAAACTCAAGGAAGGAGAGCCTGTTTTCCCACATGTACAAAAGATGCAAAGATACGTGGAGAAACTCCATAAGCTCAATGTGTTGTTTGATGATGATTTGCCCATTGATATGGTCCTTAACTCATTACCTCCTAGTTATGATCAATTTGTTCTGACCTATCATTTGAACAATACGGAGATGAAATTGATTGGGCTTCCTAATTTGTTGCAAACTGCCGAGTCGCGGATGAAGAAAAATCATGCCTCTAATGCAACAAATCCTCTTGTCCATGCCATTGGATCTTGAAAAGGGAAGAAAATGAATGATCCTTCCCAATCTGCCAGGAAAAGGAAGGCCCATGATGGAGGGTCTAGCAGTGGGTCAAAGTTGAAGCCCAACTTTGATGTCCCCACGGTCAGTGATCCAAAAGAGGCCACTTGCTTCTATTGTGGCGAAAAGGGTCATTGGAGAAGAAGCTTCCGTAAGTACCTTCAATACTTGAAAGATGGAAATATCAAGGTCTCCTCTTTAGTTATTTACACTATTCAAGTTAATAACACACAACCTTCTCATTCTTGGGTCCCTGACACAGGATGTGGTTTCCACATTTGTTTGATTTGTAGGGACTAAGCAAAAGTGAGGAGGTGGAGCATGGGAAGCTCAATCTAATCATAAGCAATAGGCGATATTAACATGTTACCAAGATTGGAACATATGGGATTATGCTTAGTAGTGGTGTCAGGGTTAATTTGATTAATTGTTGTTATTCATTAGATATGATGCAAAACATTATTTCATTTCATGCACTATTTAGACAAGGTTTTAGATATTCATTTGATAATGAAGTTGGTTATATTTCTGCTTATCATAATGGTGTTTTAATGTTTGAAGCTTCACCTTGTGATGGTGTGTATGAAATTGTGACTTGTGTTGATAACCTGGGCAATAGTGTGTTTCATATTGATTCGTCCAATGGTGTGGAAAAAGCATGTTTATGGCATTGTCGTCTTGAGAACGTAAACAAGAAAGGCATCGCCCAATTCCAAAAGGATAAAGTGTTGGAATCATCTGATCTTAGGACAAATGATGAATGTGAATCTTGTCTCTTGGGTAAGATGACAAAATCACCTTTCATTGGATCATGTGAAAGAGGTGAAGGATTGTTGGACCTAATCCATACGGATGTATGTGGCCCTTTGAGATCCATCACAAGAGATGCCAATCGATACTACGTGACATTTACAGATGATTATAGCATATATGGTTATATCTACCTAATCAAAAATAAATATGAAACCTTTGAAAAGTTCAAAGAGTTTAAGCACGAGGTCAAGAATCAATTAGGCCTAAAGATAAAGATGTTCAGATCTGACAAACGTGGTGAGTATCTTAGTATCGAGTTCCATGACTATTTTATGGAATGTGGACTTGTTTCATAATTGAATCCTCCCAGAACACCACAACTTAATGGTATGGTTGAGAGGCGTAATCGAACCTTACATGATATGGTTCGTTCCATGATGAGTTGAGCTTCTCTTCCTATTCATTCCTGGGGGTATGCCTTAGAGACAGCCGCCCATACCGTGAATCTTGTTCCAACAAAGAAGGTTGCCAAAACACCTCATGAGACGTGGACAGGAAAAGCTCACTCGCTCGCACATATCAAGGTTTGTGGTTGTGAAACACTCATAAGATGAGAGACACATGATAAACTTGATTCCAGAGCCAAGAAGTGTTATTTTAATGGCTATCCACAGAAGTACTTTAGATAGTTGTTCTACAGACCTAGTGATAATGTGGTATTTGTAGCTCGAAGAGGATACTTTTGTGAGAAAGAGCTAATATTCAAAGAGGACATTGGGAGTGCTATTGATCTTAAAGAAATATAGGAGTCATCCAATCAAGGAACCTCAGAAAACACTAGCAGTCAACATAAGGAAGAGGTTCTAGTTATGCCAGTTGACAACTCATTACCCCTTCATCATTCCAGTACAGTTAGCATGCCACCTGAGTTCTATGGTTTCCATATTACTGTAGATGGTGACATGTTTGTCAGTGATTGTACACTAGTAAATTTGGATGAACTTGCTAACTACAAGGAAGCAATGGAAGGACCTGAGGCTACTAAATGGAAAGAAGCAATGAACAATGAGATTCAATCCATGTATGATAACCAAGTATGGAACTTGGTTGATCATGTGCCTAGTCGAAAGACAGTCGGGTTAGAAAGGAGATTATTTGTGAGGTGGGGAACCACCAGAACATCCAGTAAAGTAATATTTTTGGAGACAATAGAATTATGAATATGAGATATTTCTAATACATAACCATTCCCAAAGACCACTTGATCCTTTCTAGAGTAAGAAGAAGATGAATCAAGGTTTGATGGAGAGTTTGTCATGTGAGTGGATGTACCTGAGCCAACATACCAGTCCGGACTAGACTATTTTGTGTTGTATAGGCTGTGAAATGCATGAGCTAAATTAGCATCGACTAATGAACCATGTTAAGAAAAGGTGGGCAAGTCTAGACAGGAAGAGGCATAATGACCATTTTTCATGCATAACTGATAGTGAGGAGGTCTCCGAGCACGTCCTCTGCCACCAGAGAGTTTCCACGACCCCTCCAACGACTAAAGGACACACCTTGAGATGTAGTTTGAGTCAGAGTAGGATGAGTTTGAGCCATGAATGCAACAGCGGTAGTAGTTGCAAATCCATGAATAGAACTAAAAAAACAATTCATGGTTTTGAGCTTGAGAGAGAAGTTGGCAGAATGGTGGATAAGTTGTGGCAGTGCGATGAAATGTGGAGAAGGACTCAAAATACAACCAATTGATCACAAATAGCCTTGATTTTTTAGCCGAACTTGGTAACAAAGGATGATCCTTTCTGTAGCTGTCAGAGGGAATCAAGAAGTGATTGCAATCTTTCTCTGGAGTCGTAACTGTAGGCATGTTCCACTGATTTCCAAATAGCATGAGCAGTGAAGAGGCCAAGTGTTTCAGCCATGGCATCTTCTGATAATGATGATTGTAGAATAAGAAGTGCTCTTTAATTATCCTCCTACCATGTTACATAATCTGGGTTGAGAGTGATTTTACTCGAAAATAAATTAAGTTAAAACATTTAAATTAAAAGAGGAAAGTTTTAATAAAGAAGAGGCGTGTAAAGTTTTTCATCAAATCAAATCAACATGGACTTCTATAATGATACACTACACTTTAGAGCGAATTATAAATTTTACAAGATAAATATCTTAATAGTGATAAATGAGGACATCTCTAATTTAATTCATTAAAAGATGAAAAATACTCGGATCAAATCATGTTCCTACTTAAAGCATATAGTTTTTTAAAATTAGATACGGTGAAATGAAAATGGAAGTCTATTTATAAGAAAAACATTACGAATCCTATGATTCGGGTTAAGCAAATTGAATTATATATTTATATAACGGTTATATATGTTTGAATTGTGTGTGTATTGGAATCACTTTTAATGAAACAACAATTGACTACCGAATTCATTTGAAGCATAGATTCAACTAGCTCTTAAAGTACCTAAATCAAATTAAAGAATAAAAATACCTCAATTTACCAGAACGTCCCCGATGGTTTTGGTGAAGTCAATATCTCCTGATATTCAACAGCCAAAAAGAGGAAATGGTTACAACCAATCCAAATTTGTGTGGTGCAAAAAACCATCTCTTTACCTGGTTACTTGTACTAGTGAAATCTTTACTATCATGTTGAGCCAAGAAACGAATTGAACTCTTATTAAACCCGATACACTTTAGGCAGAAGCTGGATGAGAGGCGAAATGTGGCTGTGAGAAGAACGTATTCTGAATTTGGGGCACCAATAGGTAGATCGTATATTACCAGATCCCGAAAATTTGTTGGGTCATCTATTTCACCTCCTACGTCTCGACACCATTCTTCATATTTAAACATGTACACATCTAAGGAGATTTGTCGGAGTAGAGGTCTTTGGTTGTTATAGATGAGCGGAGGTGGTTTTAGTTATAAATTAGAGGAGGTGATGTTGGTTATAATTTAAAGGATGTGAATAGTGGATGACTGTGTGTGTGTGTGAGAGAGAGAGAGAGAGAGAGATCTTTTTTTATTTTTTAATTATTAAATAAATAAAATAAGTTTTAGATTTAAAAAAATGAAAGAAAAATACAGAATAAATATCGCGAAGGTATTACAGTCATTTCAATTTACTAGAGAAACAAAATCTGCAACAAAATTAATCCAAAAAGACCACGAAGCCAAAACAATCGAGATTTTAACTAAACCTCGAAAAAAATACATACCATATGGATCATTTTTACACTTTTATCTATAACATAATAATTTAACAATAAAAATGATTAAAACTGAAAATTTGATTTAAAAATTTTCTTTCCACATAAAAGCAACAATTATATTTAGGTGTGTCAATTCTTGGTGTGGATTACTAGATATTGCTAATTAATACGTGTCATTTGCAAAAGATGTTTAGCCCAACTAGGATGATGCATTGAATTTTATATTTAATTAGGATGTGAGGGTGGAGGTTCAATTCCTTTAAATTATTTCTTGTGGTGCCACATGTAAGGATTTTTTTTATAGAAATCTGTATGGGGATTGAGTTTGCTCTGTAAAAAACTCGAACGCACCTCGTTAATATATTGCGAGTAGACTTCTGATTAATTGAAATATTATGAGTCCTAGATACACCAACAAGTCTTTCCATTTCACAATTAATATTGCGAGTAGACTTTGCTTAATTGAAATATAAATTGAAATATTATGAGCACCAAATACACCAATAAGTCTTTCCATTTCACAATTAATATTCAATAATACAATTTTCTTAATAAAAGACAAACACATCTAAGTATTTTTTTTTTGTTTATTTATTTTTTGTTAAGAAAGCGAAATAAGCAATAACACAAACAACAAATCGGCTGTGATACCTCAAAGTTCTACTCACCGACTCCAAAAATCTTCCTTACCTGTTGAACGAAGGCAACTATCTTTAGCGACTCAGGAAGAACATTAGACACGCTCTCCTTGTTCTGAAAGCACCTTTTAGCCCAACCAATCAGTTTTGGGCAGTCTTGTCCTACGTTCAATTCCCCAAACGTTTCATAGGCTTGAAGCCATGCATAAAATGGGATCAAAGACGCATCAACGTAACCGAAACTGTCACCTCCAAAATAAGGTTTGTCTCCAAGCTCTCCTTCAATTAGTTTAAGGGAATCTATAAACTCTTTCCTGGATGCCTCATGTTCTTCCGCTTTTGCAGTGTACAACAATATCCTCCCATTGTGGTATACCTGAATTTCCATACACAAATTAAGTTAGACAAACGATTCCATAATCTAAAGACCATTTCCATCGTATAATAGATCTAGGGATTACAAAGTATTCCTCCTCTTTGGATAATTTATACAATCAAGACAAGAAAACACCCACAACGTAGTTCATGACAAGTCACCACAGCTTCTTAAAACTCCTATCCGATGCAATGTATAGGTAGATATGGCTTGAAACTAGTCAAAAACTTTCAACTGATTTGAGACAACCAAGATATGGAAATATTAGCCATTATCTTCAAGGGTGAATCAAGAACAGTCGAAACGTAATAGTAATAGACAATAGTATATCAAAACAAAGTCAAGGAGAAGTCAAAGAGTTACCTTCTCAATAAAGTCGACCAAAAACCTCGCCCGAGCTCTGCCGTAAGTATCAGAAGGAAGCAATGGAGCTTTATCTTTCCACTCTTCATCAATATACTCAAATATGATGTTTGACTCGCAGATCGGTTTGCCGTTGTGAATTAGGACCGGAATTTTCTTGTGAATCGGGTTCATCTCCAAGAGAAGCTGACTCTTGTTTATCAAATCTTCTTCTCTGTATTCGTATGAAACACCCTTTTCAGCAAGTGCTATCCTGACCTTCATCCCATACATGCTTGGCCAGAAATCTAGGAGAATAACTTCTTGTTTCGCCATCTTTGGCTACCTGGGTTCTCGGTGATATTCAGTTAATGAGTTCTTGACTTCTTAATTGGTGATATTCAGTTCTTCACTACTCACTGTGTGTTTGTGGGAATGAAAATGGAAACGGAAATGGAATGAGTAAATAAATGATGCAGGGCGAAGTTTCCAAGTTTCTTTAAAGGTGATTGTAGTCTATTTCTAGCTGGCTAGCTCCACCTAGTCTTATATAAGCGAAATTCGATTTGTCTGGTCGTATTTTTTATTTATTTAAAGGGAATAGAAAAAACTACTATAGGTACTTGATTTGCTACAAAATATCTCAAACTTTGTTAATGCCTCAAGTTAGCCATCGTATCGTTAGAGTTAGAGTTTTTGACCATGATAGAATGATGGAAAAAATATTTATCGTTTAGTGTTCGTTTAAAAATATCAAAATGGTATTACTTTAATGTGAAATCTAATTTTTTTTGTTTTTTTAAATATGTTTCTTTTTAAAAAAATGACATCGCAAACTAGGGCTCCACTCATTGTCACTCCTCCACGCATCGTCGACCACCTGCGGCCTTCTCTACTTGTTGTTGGTGACCTGCGACCTCCTCCACCACTCATCACTCCATTCGAGGTATGAAAAACTTTTATCGATTTTGATTCTTCCTACTTGTTTACGACGAATTGTTGCTTCTCGAATCTAATTCTTCAGTTTTCTAGTTAGTTTTTGTTTTTTTATTTTGCTTTTCTCGATTCAGCTTCTCGTTAGACAAATTGTTGGTCAATTATAGCTTTTATTTAATTTTTTTGTAGATGGATTTTATCGTAACTTACTTTTTTTTTTATCTATTTATAGATGGATTGATTGCAAACATGTTATTATGTTTCTTTTTTCTTGTTATGACACATTGGTGTGATCATTTTTTGTTTGTTTTGTAGATGAATTCTATTATAGACATAATTGACAATAAAAAAATTTCTATAATCTTTCAAGTTGTTGTTGTGACTAACGTGATTAATATAGACAATGAAGTTGAGTTAAATAAAATATTAGAAGATGGAATTGGAGATGAAGATGAAGATGAAGATGAAGCATCTTTTGACATTTAATGAATTACTTTCAAATTTAGAATTATTATGGAATAAAAAATGTCGTCCTCGTTCAACAAGACTAAAAAATAGTATGTATATTCAGAAACACCAATCTTCGTGGAATGTAGGCTACCGAGTCATTAATTGAAAACAATGTTCATTTATACCAAAGTAATTAAAACAAAAATATTGTTATGGTATTGTTGTGGTTATTTTTTTTCCTTTCTTTTTTAGAGGTAAAGATTTGTTACCAATTCAAGTTCAAGCTAATTGTGATGCTTTTCATTTTGTAACAAAAAATATTTGAGTTTTTTTTTTCTAACAAACAATGTTGAGTTTTTTTTACCTTAACAACATTGTATGTGTAATGTTTGAGTTTTTGCACCTTAAAATTTATTGTATGTTTAATTTATGATGACTAAAATTTGATGGTCGGATGTATGTATAAAAAAAAATGGATATTTAAATATATATATATTATTTAAAAAAACAGTAAAAAAAGGTATAAAAAAACTGAAATAAAAGTTCTAATTTAATAAATAAATAAATAAAACGGTAAAAATGTGGAATAAAAGAGAAAGTGAGAAAAATAAGACATTTAACTAACGGAAATTAACTAATCTAGCTACTTTTTAACATGAATTTGAAGAAAATAACCAATTTTTTTAGCAAAAATAATTATTTGGTCTGGAATAGGCATTCTGGACCAAGTAAAAACACTTTTTTGACCGATTCCGGAAAGACATTGCAGATTCCGAACTAAAATTTTGGATTTCGAATTTTAGAGGAAAAAAAACTCCGAAATAAATAATGCTTTGATTAAACGGTAGTAGAAGAGTTCTCAAGATGGAACTTCACTGTGAGAGCGTCCAAATGACAATTAGGGTTGAAAGTGTAACCCTAATATGTTACATGCATGCACTATATATAGGTTAAGAATAGAAAGCAAAACGATAATGGATAGACCCATACCAGAATAAATAAAATTATACAATCACATATTTGACACAACACTTAATAGACCCAACAATCTCCCCCTTTGTGTCAAATTCAGAAGGAGCATCTTTAGTGTCTTCGTTTCGCGTCGAAAAGTTAAGGCATTAAATTCAGAAGTGTGTTTCAGACGCATAAGTACCATCTGATCAAATCCGAAAAGCATTCAAGGTCGGCAAAAGTGTTCGCTTTGCAGGGTTGAGCCATAGAAAGAATAGTCTTCAGAACAACAATAGAATACAGGTGTTTGTCTCGCAGATAGAACATACTTTTCTGAATAGCTTCTCCCTCCTTTCTGTTATAAATGACGCTCCAAAGCCCTTTTCGGATTATCCCAACTTTCTGCTTCTAAATATCCTTCGGTTGCTCTTCTGGCATCAAGATAGGCCTCTTTTTCATAACGGATGCAATTTCAACATCCATTTTCGCAATTTCAAGGACATAACAAATGAGCATCCTTTTCAAATACGCTACGATAGGCTCATATTTCGTTTCGTCTTTCATAACGATGTTGAACAATAAGATCCAATCATATGGGTTCATAAAAGGCAGGTCTGCCAAGGTGAACTCATCCACAATGTGATTGGCTCCTCTAAATCCCTTGAACTGAATGTTTAGAAAGTCTTCGATCTAAACATGCGATTTAACCCTTACTGCACTTAACTTCTTCAGGCTCCAAGACTTTTATTGTGGCTTGGCATACTTCAATTAGAAAGAAAACAACTTCTGATTTGTAACAATGTACAAAATCAAAAACTTATATATCTTCTCAAAACAACAAAAGAGAAATGCCCTTGGTGTGATCGGAAAATCCAATTGAGATTCCACATCATTATGTAGATCAAACGAGATGAAGGGCTCCAGCCAGTAGATGCTTGGATCATCGATTGCCTCTTTCTTAATTCGCTCTACTGACCAAGGAGGAAATAACGACTTCTGAGTTTCAAGCATTACCTTCGCATTTTTAGCCTCAACTTCCTTTGCTTTTAACTCTTTCCGAAGAGCCTGGAGATCATCCAGCTCTTTATCACGCTTCTCCATAGCAATCCTTTCGGATTCAGTTATCTTCAGATTTTCTTCATATTCATCTTTCATAACACCTTTGCATTTATCTTAAAGTATGTCACAACCAGAAGCTACATTATCCTTCTGTTCAGTTTCAGTCTTAGACTGTTGCTCCTTGTATCCCCCTTGCTTCTGAAGAGCCCTGCTTCCCGAAACACCTTCGATTTGATTCGGCATAGCAAAAACCGGTTGAAGCTTGTCACATAGATGTTGTCGAACCGAGACTCTGAACAAGGAGTCACGAGTCTCAACAAGCCTCATCGGATACTAATTGATCTCGAAAAGATAGCTTTTAACGATAGTTCTCTCATTTTCAAGATCAGCAACCTGTTTGGTAGCATTTTTTAGTTTTCCAAAAAAGACCTTGGCCTTCTGAGTTTTCTCAGCCAACTGATCCATGATGTTGTTTTCAGGTTCCAAGTCTTGTTACAACTTTTCAATCTTTGTGAGAATAGAAATGTTAAGTTCAACATTATCGACTTGGATTTCAGAATGAACTAGTGAGAGTGCCTCCTTTACAACTTGTAAAGAAGTACAAAATCCTGTGACCACCTTGTTCATGGCGTCGGTATTTTTGTCAGAGGAGCTTCTGAATTCAACCATAAAATCAGTCACCTCCTGAGATAGTTTTTCGACTATTTTAGTCGTTTCAAAAATAGTCTTCTCGGAAGCTTTAATTGCCTTGGATGAATCTTCGAGGACTTTGGCATTTGCTGTTGTGAGCATCTCCATAGTGGATTTGTGGGATGTCAGCATGTATTCCCATTTGGATGAAAATGGAGATGTGGAAGACTCTAAAAGAGAATCCAGTTTTTTGTTAAGCTTCTTGAACCGCCTTTTTGTCATTGGGGCATCATCATCGTCGCTATTGAGGTGGATGGTAAAGGGCAATGATTATCCTTATTATAGGTTGGACGAAATCAAGGATAAGATATCCTTGAAATCGTCCACACAAACAACATCTAATTCTCCCCCTCTAATACCAATATTTACCCCTCCATTTTGTTCTAATGCACCCTTGAAAGCAGCATAGAAGTAATTTATTTATCCCTCGTGTTTATACATTATACTAATATAAATATTATTTATAATGTTGCAGAATCAAATACATATATAACAAACAGTGTAGTACACAAACCTCCCTTTGTTTTAAAGTTACCTCCTTCCTAAATTGCACAAGATAATGAGAAAGTATGTTAAAACATTGACTTAGACATGTAATAACATTGCACAAGATAATGAGAAAGTGTGTTAAAACATTGACTCAGACATGTAATAACAGATTAGGAAAATGTTTGTTCTTGCCTGCTTAAAAGTTTGCTTCTTAAGAAACACCTTCTCCAAGATGTCTGACCTAATGAATAGAAGATTGTCTTTTTTTTTAGATTTAAATAACATATTATAACTATTAAGAGCCAAAATATAAGCAAATAAAAGTTCTGATTACCTGTTTCTCAAGCTGTGTAGCCCTCATTTTTGCAAAATGTTTACTACATGCTTAAAATAGAAATGTTTAAAGAAACAAAAAGTATTATTATCGTTATCACAAAGGAAAAGTACAAAGTGATGTTACTTACCATATTTTTAAACCCACTACCCATAAATATTGGTATAAATTTTTGTGTTATAGTGGCTCTACAAATAGCTGCCTGTTTCAAACCAATGTACAAAAAAGAATTACTATTATATTTATACCCCATAATCTTTGTAAAAATAACATTTTATATCGAAATTGTGAGTATACCTCAAGATGAGAAACTAATATAGGTTCATCATTGAGGAATACTTCAGCAAACTGATCGACAACATCAGAAACTGCTTCAATTAACTGACGCCTCTTTTCTGCAGCCAATGCCAATCTTAACGGTATTTGC